TGAAAGCGAAACTGTAAGTAACTCTCGAGTATTTTCAGGGCTATTCCCCGAATACCAGAAAGTTCTAGTTTTTGAAGAAGAGTTTTATGATTAATGCGATCAAAAGCTTTTGAAAAATCGATAAAGATTCCCAATGTGAGAAGTTTATTTTCAATGTTGTTTAGAATTATCTCTTTTTGGTTAAGTAACGCTAACTCTGTCGAGTACCCTTTCCGAAACCCGTACTGCCGGGGACTCAGAATTGAGTGTTTCTCAAAAAAAGTGTAAAGTCTTTTATGTATGATTTTTTCCAATCCTTTTGAAAATATTGGTAAAATGGACACTGGCCTGTAATTACTAAGATCGTTCCTATCACCTGCTTTATATATGACAGAAACTTTTGCTATCTGCATTTTACGCGGAAAAACACCAGTCTCGAGACATACATTAAATATATGAGTTAAAATAAAAGCAATAGACTCTATAACATATTTAATGGGCTTTATTTGAATGTCCTGAGAATCGGAACTTTTGCTGTTTTTTAGACTCATAAAAATTGAAATAACTTCTTCCTCGCTAGTTGGAGAGAGGAATATGCTGTCAGAAAGACATTTAACATATTTTGAAGCTTCAGCAGAGTGAACGCTGTTAACTAAATCGACAAAAAAATTATTGAACGCGTCTGCAAGAGCTTTACCTTTTTTAATATCCCCATCAACCGCAAGCTCGGTTGTTTCTCCAAACTGACGTCCTTCATGCAATATCGAATTTAACTTCTTCCACAAAACATCCGTTCTCTTTTCATCCCGAAAAAGCAAAAAATAGTATGACCGTTTGGCTCGCCGTAGCTCACTTGTTATCTTGTTTCTTTGACTCTTAAAACTTGACAATACAACTGGATCTCTTGTACGCATAAATTTTCTATAAAGTGCATCTTTTTTCTTCATCATTTTTAATATTTCAGCTGTGACCCATGGTTTTCTACACTTTTTATGAACTATATGCTTTTTGTACTTAAATACACGGTTATATATATCACAAAACGTTTCAAGAAAACTCTCGTATGCCTCGTCTGCCGACACCTTAGACAGAACCACACTCCAGTCTGTTATGTTAATTTGTTCTTGAAAATATTCGAGACTTTTTGTACTAATATCACGGTAATGAAGGTTAGGCACACATATTTTCTTGTGTTTGATATCATCTAGAGTTATGAACATAAAAATAGGGAGATGATCACTTATTGTCGCCCCTATAACACCAGCATGCGCATGTTCCTCGGATACATTTGTTAAGAAAATATCTAACAATGTTTCATTCGCACTACTATAACGAGTTGGTTGACAAATGGTACAGATATAACCATACGACTGATAAAGCGTGAGAAATTCTGATTGCTGTGTTGATGGCAAAAGCATATTGATGTTAAAATCACCCCCCACAACAAGCTTCAGGTTGTTCTCACCGATAAAAAAAAAGAGTTCATCTAGATATTTTAAAAAACAAGACATGCTGCCACCGGGAGGGCGATACACGACACAAAAAACGTTATGCGCGTGCTGCAACGTCAGAATTTCATAATCCTGGGTAATTACCGAAAATTCATCTATAATACTGCAGTGCAGGGTATTTTTTACGTACACAGAAACTCCCCCTCCTCTTTTGGAATTTCGACATAAACTATAGTTTTCATAGTTACTTAAAATTTCAACAGTATCATCTGGAGTATACCATGTTTCCGTTAACATGATAACATCAAAAGAAAAATCGAAACTCTGCAAAAATGCATCTAACTGATCAAATTTATTACGCAAGGACTGCGCGTTTAAATGAAACAGGGAAAATACAACGCTGGTTTGGGACCTAAACACGTTCCCAACCTCACTCGGCAAGAAACTGATTTGGTTAGCCATTTCAAAAAGAAAAATCAAAATAATGACAAATCTTCAATATTTCTACTCCAGTTTCCGCAAGTCATCTTCGTTCCTGATTACGAGCACGCGCCCTCCATCTTGTTTCCTCAAGAGTACATTGCCATTCCTGTACCAGGCATACTTGTAAGCGTTTGCCCTTGCCCATTCTTTTGCAGTCCAAAGTAGCGATCGTTCGTGCCCCGTCAAATTTTCCAAGAGGAAAACGTTTGTTTCCGCTTCTTTCAAACTCAAGCGCTTACGGAACCATAGATCCCGTGTTATCTGGCTTGCGAAGCGCACGATAATTCCAGGGACCTTATCAGACTTCGAGGCAAGTCTGTGCGCTGACACCATATCACTAGCGGTCAACTCTGGTACGTTCATCATTCTTGCCACACTGTTTACCTTTTCCAGTACGTTCTCTCTCTCAGTCATCGGTACATTATGAAGTTCCAGGTTTTGTCGGCGTGACCGCCATTCAAGTTCATTCACCTGTTTCTTTAGTTCTTTGATTTCTGCCTTTGCATCGCTTTTTTCAACTGTTTCAACTCTTTTCCTCAGTTCTTTTATCTCCTTATCGTGTTCGGTCATGTGGCTTAGCACCGCGTCATACTTGTCTGACAGCATCTGAATTGAATGTTCTATTCCATCCACTGTGTCTTTAAGATCTAAAAGGGTGTCTAGCTTTTTGTTCATTGCTGCGAGTGTCATCATGACCGCAGAGGGATCCAGATCGAAGTCACTTTTTTGTTTAGCGATCTGTCCACTTCGCTGCCTATTTAGCCTGCAGGTTTGACAGCGCCATTGTTTATGCCAGCTATCACCTTTCGATTTAAACGTTGATTCGGCTATCCCAGAGCAATCACCTAAGTGGTACGGAAACTCACACTCGGAACACACCATTTTTCTATCTTTGTCTGAGACGATAACTTTACATGACATACAAATGTCATCGGTACCGTTGGCCATTTCACACGTGAAGTAGCAATTAAAAAAAAAAAAAAAAAAAAAGAAAACAAGATCACTGACACAACAGCAGCAGCAGCAGCAGCAAAGGCGACAAATAAACAAAAGAACAAGTATAATAAACTATTTCCAACCTGTGATATAGCAGATGACTGTTTTAGTGACGAGGTTGTCTCAGCGCCACTGCTGCTAAGCGGGCGCTGCTCTTGCCACTACACCCTCTAGAACACTGTAACTGAGCTAACTGAATAACGTCGTCTTCTAGTACAGTGTACTTCTAGGGATGTTACTCAACCCGCGAGAGCTTAGGTTCACACGAGCTTCGTGGTCAGCTACAAAGGTGGAAAAACAAGTTACTCTCGGTAAAAGCTTTTTTTTTTTTTTGTTTTTTGACAATAGCTTGTTAGCTTTTTCGATTTTCTTGCCTTTCTTTTTCTGCAATTTAAAGGTGCGGGAGCGAGTGCTTGGGCGCATATTAAAATTCGGCAGGCGCACTCGTCATCTCTTCTGAAATGCTGCGTTTTGCACTTCGTGTGCTTTGAAGTGTTTTGCACTTCAAAGCACACGACTGAGATTCCCGCCGATACACTCGCGGGGATTGCAGTTACGTGGTGCAAGGCCAAAGGTTGATCGCTCTAAGGAGCGTTTGTATCTCGCTCCACTACCAGTTTACCGGCGACATAGTTGTGGCTTGACTACTGGAAGAAAGAGCTTAGAAGACCCTGTACATAAGAGATCAAAGTGTAATGCGAGTTTAACTGTTATTTATTTGGGGCAGGACGCTCGAAAGGTGTTTCGTGACGTACGAATCGTGGACAGAGCTGCTGCAGCACTTATTTAAAATCACCTTTTGACAGTTTATACGAAGGGCCGCGAAAACTGCCGGCAGATGTGATGGAGCGTGACATTGGGAATGCCGAATACTGTTTGAACAACGCCCGACGCAATTCCTAGAGGAACGACGCTACATATTTTATGCATGCTCAAAGTATAACATACTCCTAGACTTCACGCTGTAGCGCTGCGAAGGTTATCAAAGTGGACGTTGCATCCCTTGTAATCTCGTCACTATGTACTGTTTGTTGTAAAAAAAAAAAAGAAAAGTTCAGCATCGCCTTGATTTTGCGGAGACAGTTGCAATCAATATGCCAAATATTTTGCGGGTCAAACAATTTATAATGTTAGGGAATTTCAGCAGATCGTTCCGACACTTCCAATAACAGTGTGATGCACGCACAAAAACGTCGGTGTGTGTCGGAGTTATCGGAACGACCTACTATAACTCCCTATTTTGCCATTCGTCACAGAAGCTTGGGCAACCGCGTGTAGGCTGCACTTGTTTGTGCAAAACCGTTCTGGTAAATATATATAAAAAAATGCATACAAAATGCGATTAAATTGAAACGGTCTTCGCAACAGGGAGTACGCCGCTAGTCAGAAGAGCATCTTCGCTACCATAGCTCGCCAGTCCGAAGCTAGCAACGGTGCGCAATAACTATTTATCGGGTTTCGTTTCGATGCAATTCAAGCTGAAAAAAAATTATATTAAAGTATCGTTTACCAGAGCATATCTGACCTCATTCCTTTCTAGCGACAAAAAAACTGGTGTCGTGCGACGGTTACCGTAACAACGGTTGCTAAGGCTATGACTTGCGGCCAATCGCAGCGTCAGCGATTGTTGTCATGGTAACCGTCACGCGATGCCAGTTTTCGTCGCTTATGTGTTGTGCTTGAAAAGCGTGTGAACAAAAACCGCAACGCTGAGCGACGTAGTCATAGCAACTGTCGCTGACGCTATGACGTGGCAGCGCTGTATCTGGCCACGTCACAGCGTCAGCCATCGGGTAGTTGCTGTGGTTCTCGGCGGCGCGACGCTTTGCGATTTTTGTTGACAGCTCTTTAGGCTGGTTCACGCACTGGGTTTGCTTGCGACCGAGTTATTGTGATCTCTCACGACGAGAGAACACGCTGGCGCCATCTATGAGGTGGCCCTGAAATCGCAATTCAGTGATGAAAGTTTTTTTATTTTTGCATTATTTGCGACAAGGTGTATGTATTATATATGAGAAAATATTGTTTATAACATTGTCAAAAGTTTTTTGAGGCAGTAAAGAAAGAATGATGCGCGAAAAAAAAATAGAGAGAATAGTATATGGAAATGCCAGATGTTCCAGGCTACCAGATAGATGGCGCCATGTGTTCTCTCGTCCAGCATAGCTCTGAGAGATCACAAGTTAAGCGTGTGAACTTAAGCGTTGGGCTGTTGATCGTTGAGGAAGACGGGGCAGCGTTTGCGGCCGATCATTGGCGACTCCTGCTGGCAGGAGAAGGCCTGTGCAAACGCCTCGAGCTGGGAGAGCGGGAAGTTGACGCGGTCTTCCGGGGGAAGCTGAAACGTCGTGTGGAAACGGTGACTTCGGAACAGGTCGTCGCTGGCTTCGCAGTTGTCCAGCGCGTACGCCACGAAGAACAGCTGCTCTGAGCTGAGTTGGGGCAGACCCGCGAGCCTGAAGTCGGACCTCCAGACACGCTTAATGTTCAAAAACTCCTGCAAAAAAAAAAAAAAAAATTTTTTTTTGGCGATAGTTGATGCGCTACACACTCTACTGTGCAAAGTTACACTACAGCGTTTGCATGTAGCAGACTCTCAGTGATTAAAGTGTTGCGCCGAATTGCGCCATGAACGAAAGTCTGCTACATCTTGCGCCAAGGTGCCGTTTTTGCTAAAAATTGCGCCACATCCTCGCCGAGGGGGGCTTAAATAAAGCAAAACACAAACATATTTTATTAGTGCTTGATTCTAATATTCGGAGAAGTAGAAGGACACAAAAATGGTACAAATATGTATCTCACAGGATCTTTAATCACCGTATGGTTTGTTTCATTTAGCACAGTCGAAAGTTCAAACACAGGCTAAAAGTGCGAGTCTAGCGGAATTCGCTGCGCTTGGTTGCAGATAGGCGACGAATGTCATGATGTGGCGCTTTTGACGCAGTTTGATTCGTCCCAATGGCTCATAGCACCACCCACACTTTGCCTGTAGATGAAACGGAGTGTAGAGGTTGCTTGTCAACCGTGCTGTCTTTGCCATTGTCTTAATTTTCAGACAATGTCGGCGATGTCACGAGAAAGATATGCAAAGCAGTGGGATGGCGGCTACGGTAACGAGACAAAACCAGGGCCTTTTACTCCCGGTGATACCCCTTGACTATATATGACACAAGCATCCATGTCATGGCTGCAGTGTACCCGGCACAAACGCCGCTGGCGTAAATTTTCATGACTTCGCACCAGAGCGCGCGCGTCGAGCTTCACCACTTTGCACCGAAGTGTAGGAGCAGCGTCCGCTGTGATTGACTCGAAAATTACTCTCAGTACTATTACAGGTCCACCTCTTTTAGTTCTAACTGTGAAAAAAAAAATGGTGCCGAGAAAGGAGAGAAAAAAGGCTCGAGGTATACCTAAGCACTTCTTATGAGTTGTGAATGCGAAAGCGCGCGTGCCATTCTTCTGCTCCCTTATTTCGTCTGCGGCGTATTTGCGTCGACGGCAGATCGCGCGCTTTCTTCGTTGCTCTGCTGACCTTAGACGCTTCGTGTTACCGGCGTGCGGACACGCAGCGCCATGGGGCAGCGGTCGTTGAAACTGACGCGCAGCGGCCAATGGGAGCCTCGTTCCTTGAAACAATGACGCGAGCCGCCAGCCAATGGGACCGAAGCAGAAATCCATCAGCTTCACTCCGCTCCTTTGGAATGGGGGAAACTACCGGGTGAAACAAGGAGACGGTAGGCTCTTTAAATCGACCGGAAAATTCGGTTTCTTAACCTATCGCGCTACGACTTTGTGCAGCGTTGCCCACAGATGGTGCATTTTTTTCGTAAAATTTGCAAAGAGCGAACTTACCTGAGGAAAAAGTAAAGAAAGAAAAAGGCTTAGCTCCTATGGAAACGCAGCGACGCCACCGGTCTGCAATCAACACGGCGCCGTTTCGCACGGGAGAGAAGAGATGGCGCAAGCGGTCGCGACGCCAACTGCCGCCAACGAACGAGCAGACGACGCCGAGAACCGGCGTTTTTAGCAGACAAGGAACTGCAGTTGCTTGTTGTTACCGCGCCTGTTTTTGTTTCTGCAACCGTCGCCGTTTGCGGAACGCGCGCCGCTTTTGATTCGGAAAGATCGTCTGCTAAAAACGCTGGCTCTCGGCGCCGTATGCTCATTCGTTGGCGGCGTTCGTTGCGCCATCTCTTGTCTACCATGCAAAACGGCGCCGTGTTGATTGCAGACCGGTGGCGTCGCTGCGTTTCCATAGGAGCTAAGCCTTTTTCTTTCTTTACTTTTTCCTCAGGTAAGTTCGCTCTTTGCAAATTTTACAAAAAAAAAAAAAAAAAAAAATGCACCATCTGTGGGCGACGCTGCACAAAGTCGTAGCGCGATAGGTTAAGAAACCGAATTTTCCGGTCGATTTAAAGAGCCTACCGTCTCCTTGTTTCACCCGGTATAGTGCCGTTTGGCTAGGCTTTTCGCGTAGTTTCAAAGCTGGGAGCCGGTGGCGCGGCTTCAAAGCTGATGACGTCGGCTCGCTCCATAAAACAATGAATTATTTCACATTAAGAAAACAAAAGAACAAAAAGAAAAAAAACGCGGGTTTATAAAACAATTAATTCTTTCGTATTAAAAAAACAAACAAAAAAAAAAAAAACCCCGCGGGTTTATAATTTGATACATATGTTAGTCAAGGCAGTTCCCGTGCGGCGGTCAATCGAAAGGACAAGAAACTTTGATTCAACTCTGGTTCAAACGCCACTAAAGCGCAGCGTCTCATTTAATGTACAAGCGAAGATTTTTATAATATTTGTGGGTGGTGGTTTTTGCAGTTTATAAAACTAAAATTTTTAGTCCAGTGTTCTTGAGGGGGGGGGGGGGGGTATATTTTATTGTTTTTTAATGTTCATAGCGGGATATGCTGGTTTTTGCCGGCGTTTTACGGAAATTATATTTACCGACGAAATTAATTACGGACTGTAGCAGAGGGATAGAGAGAGAAGCTTCATCACAACCTAACTGCGCTATGCTTCATTTTCCAACAATTTTCTGAACAACCATTGTAAATGGAACCTCCTCTGACTGGAGCCTCAGCTAGAAAAACGAGACCGTGTGTTGTTTTCGTGCCCCATCTACTCTTACTACAAAATGTAATACGTAATATGGCCCACTATCAATGAAGAACCCTCGATTATTATCAGATAGGAACTCATTAAACAGTTTATTTTCAAGTGACTCGCTAACAGACGTCTGCTCCAAAAGCGTCAGTGGCTGCTCTGAACCAATACCTCGCCTGCTACAAAACCTGCCACAAAAATGTCCAATGCCGTTTCCAACACTGGGACTGTGCTGATAGGACACGGTGACGTGATCACGTGACACTAGACTCCCGCTAAATTTAGAAGAAAAATTGTAGCGTCACGTGACACTGTGATGCCACGTGACACTCTAAATTAAGCGGATAAATTTTTCGGCTAAATTTAGCGGGAAATGACCTAGACTCCAGCACACCCCGGGATCTGCTGTGAAACTTCGCTAACGACTGTCGCCGTAAAATGACAAGGACACTGAACATTTACACCGCTAGAGACCGATCTGCCCTATATCGGGATATTGGTTCAACGTCCCTTCATATGATTCGTATCGAAAAGGGCAGGGAATTTTAACTCGTGGTGCCCGAGCCTGCAGTGTGCTAAGGCATCCTGCGAGAGAAGCCACTGCCGTCAACACCGTCAAACTTGTCACACTCGAGTACGAGTTCGATAGTGTTATATTATGCGCAACTCCAACGCCCTATTTGCGGTGAGAAGCTCGCCAGAGGCGCTTCTGTTGTCCTCGCTATGGGTAGTGCACGTGCTACCCACGTGGTTTTAGTTTCATTTTTATTGTGCATGGAAGCTTGTCCTTGCACGTGCTTGCACCAGCAGACAAAGTTGAAGTATCCTCACTCTGGGTTGTAAAAAAATTCCACCAGGCGGCGATACCCCTTCATGTTTTAAAAATAGCGCAAGGTCATAGCCTCCTCTATACTCTCACAAAGCCTGGCAGTTCGACGACGGAGCCATAGAGTGCCCTGCCGCAAATTTGGAGCGCGAGGATCTGGTAGAGCAAAGAATTTCTGGGGGACCTGGTCGTGAGCGCACAGCTTTCGCAGCGGCGAGGACCCGAAACATGGTTTTCAAACCCGACGAGAAAAGAAGCGGCAGCGCGAGGAACGCGAGGAGCACGAGCGGACATTCCATCGCTCGGGAGAAGTGTGTTTTGGCGTCTCGCCGCAGCGGGGCGCCCGTCGCCTGGCTCTCCTCTTATCCGTTGTCTGCCGCTCTACCTTTTCGATTTCGGCGGCCGCGTCTCGTGGCGATCTGCCAGGCTTTGCCAGTATAGTAAAGGCTATGGCAAGATGCGTCGATACACGAGGCACGTGCAACCTGCGGCCCTTGGGAAGATCATGGCGGCACAGCGCAGCCCAGAGCTAGATATCAGACGCCATGTTCTCCCCAGAAGGGGCGCGCAGCACGTGTCTCGAGCATTTCCACAACAATGAGTGGCGCCACTTTTCCCAGGATAGAGGGACTTTAGGATAGATTCTCCAGGATTTCCCAAGCGCCTGCCATCTAACGCTGGTCAGTGCGCTAAAATTGATCTTTATGGCTAAATACGAAACGGTCAGGACAAAAGCGTATATCACAGGTGACGGATATGTTGTTCGTGCGTTAAGAAAATGAAAATGTTGATTTTTAAAAGTCGCGGAACTGAACAAAATAATTTCTATTCTAAGGCACTCGTATTTTTCGTTAGAACTGCATGATACACGAACACGCCGACGAGAAGCATAGGGTGACGGCAGCACCTAGGCCAAGAATCCCTGCCACCACCGCCGTCCCCGCTCCTTTGGTTTTTCGTTCGTACGCGTGAGGGAGCGAGCGACGGAGCTAGTCCATTCTAGGGAGACCTAGTCAATTCTACTCTTCTTCGTTTTAAAGACAGTGCGCTTAAAAAAAATGTTTTTAGAAAGGATACGTACGTCACAAGATAAAATAAAAAAAAAATATAGATTTATGTGTGTTTTTTTTTTTATTATTTTGAGACGTAGGTCTCGCGCCAAAATATTGCGCTAAATATTTTTGTTATTTTGTTCGTTAAATGTTTTTAAAAGCCCCTGAAAAGAAAAAAAAAAGTTTTTTTAAAGTGTGGTTGGGACACGCGTGTCAAAAAATAAATTTTACGCGAAAAAAAACCAAATTTAAAGCAATATTGACGGCGAGAGATTTATTTGAAATTCTTTGCGCGAAGTCCATGACGTCACGGCTCATTCCGGAATGACCCTCCCGGTCGTTGAAGGCGAAGCCGATCCACCTCTCCTCCACGCGCCCGAAATGCCGAGAGAGAAAACAGGTGGAAAGGGAGGTGACTGCCCACTAAATCGCGTCTCGCGCCGTCAATATTAATCTAAAGATTTTCTTTTTTTCACGTAAAATTAATATTTTGACACTCGTGTCCCAACAAGACTGTTAAAAAAAAATTTTTTTTTTTGTGTGTTTTTTTTAAAGCCTCCTAAAAAAGAAATTAGCATAAAACTTTGGCGCGAGACTAATTTTAGCGATTCCGAAACGGGATTCTATTTTGAAATCTATGTATCAAAATAAAAGCATAAATATTGATTTTTTTCTTCAATCGAACTTCCTTTTTTTACGTACGTATCCTTTCCAAAGAGTTCAATCGCTTTTTCTTTTTCTGGGGCCCTGTAGCCTTTACTGTGACACACCTTTAAGGTGCACCGCAGTAAAGGCTATACAGACGGCCCCAGACGACGCTCGTTACTGGAAAGAAGGTCTTTAGAAAAAGGTTCATTGCCAAACTGTTTTCTGCGCTACATTTTCATTAAAGTGGCCGCGCGCCGATATTGGGTAGGAGTGTTTCTCATTGTACGCAAGCTTACTGGCACTAATGGGACCCGAGAATACTCGCAACCAACGCCCCTGACCAAGATGGTTCTTTGTCGCCTTCCAAGAATAAAAGCGGGACGAAGTTCTAACTGGATGACGGAGTTGTAAGGATAACATTTTTGGCGTTATTAACAATGCGGTCCTCGCGGTGAGGATATTTCAATGCGGCTCATGCCGTGGAAGCATTGCGCGAGTACTCGATTTGGGCTCGTGACAATCAATGCCTCGACATGCATTCGAGCCTCGTGCCCAATCGCTGCGATGGCGAGAATAGCCTTAACGATATTGTCACGAATGACGAGGCAATGATAACTGAAGAAACTAAACGTTTAATGGGGCGAACTTGTGCCCCCCAAAATAAAAAGGGAACAGAAGAAAGTAGAGCGTCGCGGGCGTCGAAGTCGGCGTGACAGCAGAGTCCAACGCTGGGGCGAAACTGACTGTGGCTCGCTACGCGGAGCCCCTTATGCATCTTGGAATACATTTTACATGTACATGCGTGGGCTTCTGCAATAATCGGCGTAGAAAATTCGACGCGTAGAACATTCGGACCTCGAACAAGCAACAGGATTCTCGAATTTACCAGAATACTAGTCTGCAGGAATAAACAGAAAGATGCGTCGCTCCCACGAATCGAACCCTGGCTTTTCGCGTGCGAGCCAGGTACGATAACCGTTAGGCCACGCGCGCGCTGCCTACTTGGCCAGCTGCGCGCGCGGCAATATGTGCAACTCAGCCCTGTGCTTGGCCATGATAAGCATTACTGGCATATAATATAATCGGTTCCAGATCACGTGGCCACTTGTTCTGGCTGCCAGATGAGGGTGTAAACGCTGCTCGTTTTTCTCCAGTGATTTTTTTTTTTGTCACTGCCACTGCGTTGAGAGACAATCTAACGCGTGCTTCGCAAGTTATGAATCTTAATGAATTCATTTAAGCGGTATTCACTGAAACTACAAAAATTGTTGCGTCATCCTCCTTTTTTAGATCCCCAAGGTAAACACAATTTTACAATACCCAAGTTTTACTCTTTTTGGTATGCTATTTATTATTTATAAGTGCAAAATAGCCATTCAGAGAACGGCAGATGAAGGTTATGCCAAAACCGTTAAACATTTCTTCAGCTCTCTATTGGGATGATGTCACATGTGTAATTAGTTCATCGAGAAACAGTGCAACAAACATTTTGCGCGTGTTTCTTTTTTTTGCGTGCGCGTAATTAGTTTTTATTGTACTCCATAAAAATTTGGACGTTACGGATTCAGTGTCGCCAGTAGATCCTCTCAGCCCAACTTTAAAGCTTGAATAACTTCGCAAAACAACAACAACAACAACAACAACAACAACAACAACAAAACAACAACTTGTTACTTGTAATTTGGGTTACCACTTTTTATGTGTCTGTTAATATGGTTAACCAATCTTAGTGCAAATCGGTGACTATCGAAATTTGGCCGCAGCTCCTATTCCCAGAATAGTTTCTAAAAATCTTGAAAATAAATACCAGCCATAAATTTTTCCTTATTGTTTCGCGGTTTCACTGCGGAGGGGCAGTTACAGAGCCGTGGTGCCTGAAAAAGCCTCTGCCCCCTAAAGGTCAGCAGCACAAGATAGTTAGATGGTAACAATAATTCAACAAAACATTACGTTACACTTCTACAAACCAAATCAAATAAAAAAAAGAAAGTAGGCAGCAGCAGATTCATTTGGTAGAAGATACTATAAATAAACGTCATTAAATGTTAGTCGTATTACAAGTGAAAAAGAAAAGAAAATGCAGCTATATCATACATCTCCAACATGTGAACAGAACAGCTTATTCAGATGAGATTGCAAGGAATATATATATATACTGTGATGTCTCCTTAAACCTCCGTTCCCCCGAAAAGTCGTCCATGATGTGAGTTGTCCACAATAACGAGACAAATGCATACATTTACCCATTTCGTTCCCCAAGACGTCGTCCATATAGCGAGGTATCTATATTAACGTGGTCCATATTAACGACGCATCACTGTATGTATAGTGATTACGTTCTGGGATTGTGAAAAGACCGCATTCGTTTTCAAAACTCGGATCCAGTTGAACAAACCCCAAAATATTTCTAGGGATGGATATCACGTACCTGGAAAGTCCAGTAGGCCTGCTGAAGAGCCAGGGTCTGTTCCAGGATGGCGAGTCCGGCCGATGTGAGGTCTGGGATCCCTTTCAGGAATGTGCTCTTGAGTTGCCCAGCGAGGAGTTTGTATTGACTAAGAAGACAAGAGACAGTGTCCCGCAGGCGTTCCTGGTAACCGTCGGTGTATAGCAAGGGGCCCTCATCATGCTGATTTGCCTCGTACACGTATTCCTGGTACAGGGCCGGTATCAATGCCTTGAATATGCGGACGCCGTACCGAGAAATGTGCACAACAAAGGCCGTGCTGTTGGCGGGCACCGACGCGTTGATGATGGCCATCGGAACGTGCACGTTCTTTCTCTGGACGTCGTATCTGGCTTCGCTGTCGAACACAGAACTCGTCGTCGTGTTATTGAGCGCCCAAGGCTCCCGCAAGCGCTCCCGTTGTACAAGTCTAACGAAGAGTATGATGCGTTTCAGAACGCTTGTGGGGTCCAGACTCAAAGACACCTCCAAGTGGTGAAGCAGTGCACGGTGGTACTCTAGGAAACTTGCGTTTTGCAGAACCCAAGCTGGAGTAGAAGGTTGGATCGTGTGACTGAGAATTTTATATTTGGCCATCCGGACGTCACTGTCAGAAGGCGCTGTCGTGCCCCTGGGGTCCCGCGCCCAAGCCACGCGTTGAAGTTGCTGGATGAACGTTCGTTCCAATTTCGACGTCCACGATTTGGGCAAGAGACTGGTTTTTGTCATTTGGAGCGAGTAGGCACGCAAGTAAAAAGCCGGGAGGATACGCTCGACTTCTTTTGTGCAAAACCTTTCCAATGTTGTGTTCTCCTGATAGGAAAAGCCGGCTTCAATAGCCCGCAGTTGACGTAAGAGTCGTTGTTCAAGGAACGTTCCAAAATACACCATGACCCTGAAGCCGAGGTAGTTGAGCAGATTTGTCGGACTGAATTCGGAACTCTCCGCATGCTCGAGTCTCTCGAAGAACAGGGGCGATTTGACCATAATGTCCGTACCGTCCGTTACAGCGACTGTGTCCAAGAAAGCGGCGCCAAGGAACGCTCTCACTCCAGACGCCAGGAGGCGCACCTTAGAGAGGCGGTAGTTCTCTACGCCCATGTATCTTACGTTGGGACCAGCGACCAGTTTTGCGAAGAGCACCATAGTTTGCTTGATATTAGAGATGTGGAGCCGGACGTTGGCGTCTGCGTTCATGAACATGATGGACTGCTCGATGGCGCCTGTTAGAAGCTCTGTGTAAGCCGGCTTTGTCCAATCTCCGTCCCGGTACAGCAAGTTGGGCTCGTCAATTCCAATTACGTGGGCGGCCTTGTTTTCGGGATGTACATCAATGGAAATGGCGGCAAAGGCTTCCAGCTTAAGATCTCGGACCAGCCGCCCAGCCATGGCCCAAACTCCTTCTGACGTCACGGGCTTATCGTCCACAGGCCAGGTTGAACCGAAGTACTCGAAGAAGAGTTCATTCATTTCCATACGGTGCCAGCTATCAGAATCGCCGCGGTCGGTGCACGCCTTAAGAAGATCTTTGGCGACTTTCATATCGTGGTGGTTCTTGTCTAAAATGTAGCTTGTGATAAGCTTTTCAGCCTGGTCCCCCAGCAGGGTGTCTCTAGAAACGGAGCTTCCCAAGCTTGGCTTCCAGAGGTTGGTTTCTAGCTTGCAAGCGTAGCTGTAAAAGTTTGAGCAAGGGTTGCCGGTGAGCAGGCTCCGTAGGTAAGATGCTTCGCGTTCACAGTACGGCGTATTGCAAGCGTAGAATGACCGCGGATACGTCGGGGAGGTTGCTTCGTCCGTCATGGTCGTATCCACCGTCGTGTCTACTGTCGTGTCTTCCGTCGCATTGGTCGTTGTCCCGATCGCCCACGTGTCGGAAGTGTCCCTGTCTGCGAGGAAACGAGGTTGTGGTGATACAGTCATCTTTTTTGGAGCGATCTCAAGAAGAGTATGCTTATTTGGATCCATCGGAGTCGTAAACATTATGAAGAGCACCCAGAGTGTTCCGGCAGTGCTCAGGGCCAAGATAAATCGGCTTTCCGGGTACAGCCTGGCGGGCCCCCCTAAGTCCCAGAAGCTGATGTCCTGCGCTTCGGGGCCTCTCAGCGGGGCTGGCCTGGGTAGCGACTCAAGTTGAATGGCCCGCGCGTCATTCACCTCATGTCTTGGGAGTTCCTGCGAGAACGACTGTTGAGCAGGGTTAATATCCTTTCTTGCAGCTGGTTCTGGTTTTTCATCCAAATCTACGGAATAAGTTTGCTGAGTTTCTTCCAATGAACCGCCCTCTGGAGCCCCATCTGCGACGCTCTTCAAAGCCTCCACCTTATCTTGTTCCGCGGACTCTCCTGAAAGGTGTCCTTCAGCTTCCCCTGGTATGTCTGCTGGGTGCCCTTTCGTGATCTCTCCGGAAACTTCCTCATCGTCAAATGCTCGGGCACTGAGACCAGCGTCGAGTTGTAAGCCTTGGCGGTCTTGGCCACCCATTATACTGTCGTTCGGCCGAGCAGGTTTTTCTTCTATTAGGCTGTCATGCCTTCTTTTTCCTTTGGAGGCCTCATCCAGCGGTTTTGTACCGTCCGGTTGACCAGTATTTAGCGCACGCTGAGGAATCGCTGCATCACCACCAGGGGGAACAGCATCAGTGGTCGAGACTGCCATCACGTACGTTTCTGATGGCAAGACCTTGGGCTTTTCCGGAATGCGAAGTACAGCTGCATTTTCTTGTTGCATCTCAGCCTCAATGCTTGTGGTGCTCCCCCACGAAGGTGTAGACGTGTTGGATCTTGTGCTTCGTTCAAATATGCTCGTCCTTGTGCCCATGTGATTTTCTTTCGTCTCTCTTGCAGCTTTCTTTTTCGTTGCTGCTTCTTTCTTCGTCTTGTACTTGGCGATAGTTCGAGAGCTCACTTTGGGCAGCCCAGAAGCTTCAATCTTTGACAACCTCCTTGCGGATGCGACGGAAACAGCGTCAAGGCGTTCTTCACGCTCCTTGTTTGACTTTGTGGGCTTCACAGGTTTGGGTTTTTTGACGGCCAATTTTTCGGGTCTTCCACCATTGAAGTACAAGTGTACTTTCTTTTCTTCCGTCTGCTTGTCAGATTGCACGTTAGACATTTTTGTTTGGCTACTTCCGTTTTCTACAGGTTTTGCTTGGCCACTATTGTCATGAAAGACCAACTTGACTTGGCTTGGCTGTCCCATTAATGATACAGTGGCATCTTTCGTGGGTATTACATTTTCAGCTTCTGGGCGTTGTGTGGTTATAGTTACTGCAAGACCAGCGATATCATTGAAACCCGCTTCTTCCTTAGTACGATTGTCTCGGGATTCGCGCCTTTTCAACGTGTTCTTCAAAGACTCTTTGGATTCTGGTGTTTCCTCAAAACTCTTCATTGACAGGCCGTCGTCACATTTTTCGCTTGTTCCGGTGTCAGGTTCCCACTGTATGTTTTTGGCTACGACATCGTTTTTCTTTAAATCTGTCTTTATGGATGACGAAGAGTCTGCTTTGGATTTGTGAGATGGCTTTTTTGGACCTGCTTGTTTTAAACTCCTGGACTTGTCCCTTCGCGAAGAGGGCTTCTGCGTTGATTTTGATTTCTGACTGGGCATAATCTCAATGTCTAATGATTGTTCAGACAGACCTTCGATAATTTCAACACCCTTCGTTGAACGAGGTTGGGGCACGACACCTTCGTCGATGTATGTTTGAGTCTGCTTGGTGTCCCTTGAACCCAGGAAGCTGCTAAGCCAGCACGGTGAGCGCGGTGAGCATGGAGAGCACGGTCTGCCTCGAGTCGAGACGACAGGTGTACCTACCTTTTTGGATGCCGTAGTAATTGGCGGGGGTGTTATCTTCACAATTTGCCTACCCATTACTACATTCGGTCCCTCCCTTTCCAGTTTCGACAATCGATCTGACCCGTCATCATCTGGACAGCTTATCTTTTTCGATGACACGCTGGCTCTTCGTGCAGTTCTCACCTTATGTGAGACGCTCTCTAAAGCGGATACTGGCCCCTTTTTTGTTGGGGAACTTGTCGTCGGAGTGATGTCAGCTCCGTGCGCAGCAAATCGCAGATTCGTCGCGGGCTCTGTCGCAGCAGACAAATCTCGAGAAGCTGTGCTCAGCCTCCGACGCTCAGTTTCAGTGGTGTAGTCTCTAAGTTGTTGACTCGGAGCTACGCTGGCTCTTCTCGAAGAAAAAAGCTTTGGTGTGGGATTCTCTTGGAGTGCAGTGGCAGAAACCACGCTTCCTTCTTTACCTGTTATCTTCGCTGTCAGGATCTCTTGCGAAGAAATTTTCGAAGTTTCATCGCTAGGCTTTTTTTGCACCTTGAACTCGAGCCCAGCACCGACGCTGGCTCGTCTCGCGACGTGACTTCTAAACTTGGGTTGGGAATCTGTTGTGGGCAGTTGTTCTGAAAATTTGGCTTGTCCTTTTCCAGATGTTTTTTCCTGAAGCTGAAGAGCTGTCGGCGCTGACATGCTGGCTTTTCGAGAGGGAGCTTTGAGTGCCGGCTTGATCTGAGAAGTGGACTGCATTGCCTGTACCGATGGTTCATGTTGAGGTGCCATGGCAGAAGATGCTGTTATGCTCGCTTTTCTGGAGGAACGAACCTTAAAAGGAACTTCCGGTTGAACTCTGCGGTCAGCTCCAAAATAAGGGATGCGGCTCTCACTGTCCATTGCACACCTGTTGATGTGGCTTTGGGATGCCACTGCAGGCATACGAAGACCGTAATTCTCTTTTTGACCGTCGTATAATTTTTGGTCGGGTTCTACTGTCGTGCCTTTAGGAGGACCTTGAAAACGAGGGGTTGAGTTTTGGTGCACACCTGCTGTAACTTCTCTGTCCACAACGTTGGAGTTGATCTGTGCGGCCCCTGCGAATCGAGGGTCATAAGGTCCTTCCTGGCCACTCATATACAACGATCGGTAATCATTGCGGTACCTCCTGACGTCACTAGACCTGTCAGAATTAGAGAGAAAATCATTCTGAACGTAGAAAGGCTGTCTTGTCAAACATTCGCTTTGCTGCTCAGGAAACTTCAAGGCCCTGGTCTCAGAGAGGATAGCGGCGGAGATCTTCTGCAGCTTGTTGGCCTCTTCTGCGGCTTGACGGGCCTTGTTAATTGCCATGTCCGCCCCTCTGACCAGCGTGGCTGCGGACTTTACAGGTACGGATCTGTCTCGCCTTGTGAGGACCTCGGGAGCGCTCGTCCGCCGCGATCTTGAGCCACCATAGACGGGGTCAGAGAAAGGTGACGGTTGGCGATATGAAAGCGGCGGCCCGATCAGTGGATCGTACGGATGAATGCAAGGAGGGCCAAGATAACGAGTATCAAAAGCAACTGGCGCGCCAAAATCAGACGTGCCATATGGAGGTAAACCATGAGAAGGTAGTCTAGGCGGAGGTAGATAACATGGGAGTGGACCAGAAGGATACGAACCAGGTGGCGGTAGACCAGCTTGCGGGGCATCATACAAGTGTCTGCAATAAGGACCAGGGTCTGTAGTGATGAAGTTGGGTGTTGATGCGTACCGTCTTGCTTCCCTCGCCTGGGCTCCGTCGGGAGTGACGGCAAGGAATCGACACCGTCGCGTTTCGGCATCTTGTGATAGCAAGGATTCGAGACTCATAACATCCTCGTTGCGCGTGATTTGGGCGATCACCCCAGGGTTCCTCCGCGCTGCTTTCTTAAGGACACGGTATTTCGCTAAAGCGTCACGGGCCATCTTGGCCTCCACCACTGCCCTTTCCATCAGATCTTTGACGTACTGTCTGCGGATTTTCAGCTCACTGTCAGTGCTACACTCTAGCGACTGTACTGTCTTGGAGGCCGTCCGAAAGTCCTTGGCTGCCTGAATGGCCCTCTTGGCCTCACGCGCTGCAACAACGGCGCGCACGGCGACGGGTTTTGATTCATCGGTGAATTCGGCCAGGTCGAGTAATGTTTGCTCCGACCTGAGCAAGGAGATGGCGGACGTGTCGCTACCGCTCATCGCCAGCTCGGTGTTGTCCGGCACGTCGGTGGATGCATCCCTCTTCAGAGTAGTGTGGAATCCCGTCTTCTTGTGGTCGGCGTTGTCGCAGCACCGCATGCAGCATGTGTCACAACAGCACAACTTGTTGATGTAACGGCGGGGAGGGTAGTCGGCCGGGATGGCGGCGAACAAGTCGACGGATTTCCAGATAATGTCTCGTTCATGGTCTGATAGTATTTCGCAGGCCGTCGCTAGATCGCCCTCGACCTCTTTGTAGTAGGCCTTGCTGATATCCTGAGTTGGCAGACTCGTTTCAAGCTTTAATGAGGACTTGGACGGCCTCGTGGCTGCCCGCTTGAGGCGTTTTCCCTTGTGCTTCTTTTCTGGCGACTTGAGTTCCTCTCCGTTGGAAAACTTCTTCTTCGTAACCTGACGGCTCAGGTACTCGTCCACGTCCAAGTTTGATTTTGTCGACTTGCGGCGCGCCTTCAAGTCTATCTTGCTCATTCTTCTAGAAGCCCGTCTCCGGTCGTCCGGTACCGTCGTACCACCTTCGTCGTCCATGATCTCGGGGCCGTGGGAGCCTGCCGCGCTGCTGAGAGGGCTTCGACGATGCCTCTGGGTGCTGCTTGGGTCAAACACGTTTGTCTGAGGGACGAATCGCGATCCGTTCGTTCGATACTCTTCCAAAATGCTGTACGAAAAAAAGGAAGAAAAAACGAGAGCGCGGATTGTGAGAGCGTGATATTCGCGATTCCAGCTACCTATAGGGGACGCCACTATCGGGCAAATATGGCGGTCGAATCCAGGTCGTGCCGTGCCATGTGCCGGCTCAACGCACAACGCTGGGGCACCAGCAAGTAAGCATTGAACTCAAAATTGGTTCTCCCGCTTTTTATCTTCCACGTTTTGAACCTGCTGCGATCTGTTGGCGTAAGCGAGCTTCCAGAGGCTTGACCTTTTTTGAGGAAGCGATGAAATGAGTGCCCACTGTCTTTCCACAGTGCTGATGAACGTTGATAAATGCGGAATGTTTGGCTCACGCGGTTCCATAGGTCGCGTGCAGAGCAACCTGGGTCACAAGACGATACTACGGTTACTTTTATTTATTTATTTATTTATTTATTTATTTCAGATACCCTCAGGGCCAAAGGCATTAGAGAGGGGAGTGGGTACAATGTATAAGTATAAAGTTAAAAAAAAATGCAGTGGTTATTAGTACAGTAAATTGACTCTTATTTATACAATGTTAGCTATGGCGTTCTTGAACTGCTGTTACGACACAGTTTCCGGTAGAACTGTTCTGTCGCGCAAACCACCGACAACATGTAAACACGGAAGCAAGAAGAAACGAGCAGAAATCGCGAAGGGACCTGTTCCGGCCAGTTCACTGTTTTCCCGCTAGGTGCCGTTCGTTTTGCTGGAGTCGCGATATTCGCGACTCCAGCAACTTGGCAGCAGCAACTTGGCAGCAGCAACTTGGCAGCAGCAACTTGACAAGCAGGTTAGACATCGGTTCTTTTCAAGTAGAAAACTTGCGTAATTTTAAAGAAAACAATGTTCTTAAAAAGCACAGGAAGCTTGTTTCAACTTTTTACAGGACAGGCGCGTAAGGTTCACGTCAGTGGTCTCTTTTCTACCAACGCACTTGATTAAAAGTCGGTTGCAAGCTAAGAAAAAATCGGAAATGCCTCTCAGAGGAAAATGTAATCCTCCGCCGAGAAACGCCAGCCAATCGTTTTCATGACGTCCGTGGACCAATCGCGATCCTTTTTTAAAAAAATAAAAAAGCTCAACATGGCTGCTGGCCTTAGCAACGCGACGCTAGTTTCTCGTGACAATTATTCTGCTTTTTTGCACCGTGTTTTACGTGCCCAAGGTTACGCCACGAAATCTTAATGGTATCGGCTTGCGTTTGCAGCAGTTTTGCGCGACAACGTGAGAATCCAGCGACGCTATCGCCAACGAAAATTTCGAAGCGGGCGCGAGGCTTAGCACTGCTGAGAGCTTGAAGACGGTATGTTAGACAGTATCTTGGACAGAAAATGAATTGGGAAGACGGTACATTGGACATTACTTTCTTTCTTTACTAAACAGCTATTTCGTTGACCAAAACGTATTCTAACTTATTTAAATGTCCTGAATGAATTAAATAAATATTGTAGTAGTTTAAAACACGTTTCCTGGAGGAAGAAAAAGCAACGTTGCTAGCGAACTACTTTCTCGACGGCGGAGGCACTTCAGATGGGCGCAATGCGCTCGTGGGTGGAGCTAAAAGAACTCAGTTACGAAACTGCCCATAGCCGCTGCCTCCACAAGCTGTACCCCCTCCCCTCCCACGGTCCGCCTCCCGTCGTTCGACATGCCACTGTCTTGAGGACGGCTACCATGGTAACTGCAGTGTATTCCTTGGGCTCGAAGCGCGAGCTCATTGAATATCGTTGCACAGCTCCTTTAAAAGAGCGGTGCAACGATATTCAATTGGAATGTTCTTCCCTTTACACGAGCTTACTGGCACACCTGGGACTTAACGATACTCACACGCAACGCCACTGTCCAAGAAACTCCTTTGTTGCGGTGTAATTTTAAGGACAAAAACGATCATTTTCTTTCAATCTCTCCTTTGCAAAATTTGATGACGTAACGTGGGTATCGCAGTACACCCCATATTACGATATTTGAATGCGGTTCATAGATTGGACCCGAGCACTGCTTGGGCACTCGATTTGGGCTCGTGATAATTGCTAGCTCGAGAAGCATTGGGACAGTGTCCTGTGTCCAATCGCTGCAACGACGACAATAGCCGAGCCATAGCAATGTCTGGAACTCAGCGCGTGTCCTGTGCTTTGCCAACCCCAGCGCGTGGCTATGATCAACATTGGCGGCTTGTTCTGGCTGCGAATTGAGGGGGTGAACGGTGCTCGTTTTTCTTTAATTTTTTTTCCGGAACTTCTATTGCTTGCGGTGTAACAAACGGGTGTTTTATAGGTAATTAACGTCAGGGATCCGTTTTAAGCGGTATTTGCGCAATGTACAAAAATTGTTGCATCGC